AGCCCTATTGACAAGGGTAGGCTAGTGTCATCTGACCTCAAAAGAACTCATAGACCTTTAGGTATAAAACATTATTTTTCTTTAGTTATTATAGTTGATCCTCATTATTTCTGATTTCTGTATTTGCAAATTTGCCTATGCAATAAAATTTATTTGGAAAACTAAAATCAAAACTCACACCATTTTCTCTGTCATTCCACAGAAATGACAAAGCAGCAAAATCTTTGACTTGCCCTATGAGCCCATTTCCAGTGAGGTCAAACAAGGCCATGCTATGCATGCTTCCTTCAGGTCCATGAATGGAGGAGGGAATGGTAGAGGGGCAGCACAGTGCAGGGCAAGGAGCTATGTTCTGGGTCCAATTGGAGGGGATTTGAATGCCAACTCTCACACCTGATAGTATGGTGGCCTCAGGCACTTAGCACTTCTGAACCTTAGTTTTTCTTTTATAAAATAAAGAAGATGAAGTCTATTGGGATGAGTTGATTTAAACATTTAAGGTTATAACCTAAAATCTGGGTGAGATATGTACATACATATGTTAGTATAAACACATACACAGACACATATATATGTAGCTTTCCCAAGGAGCAATAATTCCCTAATTCATTGTTCATGATGACTTTTTTAAACATGTCCACTACGAGTAAAAAGGATCAACTATATATTGCAAAGAACTGGCTGAGAGTCACCGTCAAGTTTAGGTGTCTCTGGTGTTGAACCTTGTTCAATCCGGACCAACTGAGATTTAACCATGCTTATGCTATATATAGCATTTTCCATAGATTTTACAATAAATATAAATATATAAAAACACAGACGTGCAAAATCCTTGAAAATTCAGTAAGGAAAGTTTGGATTAAAAAATCAAACAGATAAAAAAATATTGAAAATAAAGTAGAGAATAAGTAGATAATATTTTTTTAAAAGACATGAGTCTATAGAAAGTTATAAGTTAGAGACTTCCTGCTGGGTCTTGCTTTCCCTCCTTCATCATGTATTTATTGAACACATGTCACTTTCCATCTTGCATTAGGGCCATTATTTCATGGGACTTATTCCTTTATAATATCACAAGCTACCTGGGAGCAATGAAGAAATTGTATTGGTCTTTAAATTCTCCGTACATTTAGCACAAAAACTTGCATATTGTAAACTCCTAATAAATACTTCATTGAATGAATGAAAGATTGGATGAATGTGGTTACTCACTGCAATTATCTAATGTTCCAGATGGTTCTCTCTACTTTTTATCCGGGTCACCAAGGAACAAACTAATTGAGGGATTAGCTATTTTAATGAGCTAATGCAATTCAGTCAGTACCTTGCAATTTATGATGATCTTTCAAATATTATTTATTATTTATTTTATCATCTTAATAGGACCATGCATTCTTTACCTCAAGGGCAGAAATAATGAAGAACATATGAGCTAGTATCTCTGCTCACTGTGAAGTCAGGGGAGGCTGGTCCTATGTGGCTTGATAGGCCAATCTACTGGTAATATGAGAATTGCCTGGCTGGGTGAGCCACAGTTTTCTGATCCCATTGTTTTAATGTATTTAAAAATATTTAAAATATAGAAAAAATAATAATTACAATACATGTGTGTGTGTATATCACCAACACTATCAAAAATTAAGATTTTGTAAAATTTCTGTAGCTCATTGTAGGCCTTTCAAAGCCTCATCACGAGCTATTCATCTTATATGTCAATTAACTAATTAATTGCAAGAATTAATATCATTCTTTTTCTCACTTACCTGGGGATGGTAACTCTCTTATTATTATGTATTTATGTATCTGTGAATAATAAATAGTATTATTTTGTACACCTTAAGCTTTATTTAAATAATATTTTACTAAATCTAATCTTACATTCATTTTGTTCTAGAATTTTGAAATTTATCTATGCTGATATTTTAGGACTCAATCCTTTATTTTCAGGGACAATAGAATTCCAATTTGCAAATATTTCATATTTCATTTAAAAGTATATATTAATGATATTTAGGTTGTCATGAATTTGGGTCTTGAGGGTTTTTTAAAATACTAAAAGCAGCCAAATTATTATATAGATTGTTTTTAACATGATCTTGTATAATCACATATATGATTGTATTATATCTAGAGTAAAACAAGGTAAAAATTAGCACAATCAAATGGATACTCCCATTAAGAATAAGGTAGAACATCTAAAATTCCATGTTTCTATAATATTACCTGATAATTCACTGAACTCTATATTCTGAATATACATAAATAAACATTATTCGTAATCATTTTTAAATAGGTTAGGATCTGGAATCAAATTTTTTAAAAGTGATAATTGTAAATTGAGAGACCAAATCATGAAATGATCAAGAGAATGGCTATTAAATCAGATGGTAATTGGCTCCTGGATCTGTTCTTGACTGGTTGAGAGACCTTGGCATTTAACATTTGAGTCTCAGTTCCTCATGAGTAAAAAGGGGATAACAGTTGAACCCATTTCATAGGATTGTTATAAACTAAATGTGAATCCATGAAAGCTGATAATGTGGAATATACTTAGGAAACACCAATAAATAGGAAAAAAAATAGAAACTGTTAGCAAACTGGAGAGTCTTTATATGTAGGCATGTAATGTTTTAATATTTCAGTAATTTAAAGAGGCCTTTTCTTTTTCTTCCCAGTACTGGTAATTGAACCCAGGTATGTATATTATTGAGCTACATTCCAGTCCATTTTATTTTTTATTTTGAGGCAAATTAATAAGTTGCTCAGGTTGGCCTTGAACTTGTGATCCTCCTGCTTCAGCCTCCTGAATCCTTGGGTATTACAGGCACGCACTACTGTGCCAGGCAGAGCAGGCTATATTTTTGTATTAGACTTGGAAGAATAGGGTAGATCATTTAACATTTCCTGTTTCTATAATATTATCAGAATATTTACTAACCTCTATATTTTGAATATACATAAATAACCATTTTTGTAATTCAATTTTAAATACTTTAGAATCAAATAATGATTTCCAGAAAAACTTTTGGGGCAAATACTATAGTTCTCTCTATATATATATGCATGTAAAATAGGATATTTTGGTAACCTCTGAAGCCAGAGTCAACAATTTGAAAATTCACCATTCCATGCCAATCCATGCCATGTGGCTTGATAGGCCAATCTACTGGTAATATGAGAATTGCCTGTATTTGTGTTAAGATCTTATACCAGTGAGAAACAAGAGCTTCTTTCTTTTTAACACAGTTCAAGATTTGTGAGTATTGGAAATGGTGTGTTACTTTGTCAATAACTATGAGTATTTATTATTAATGAGATGCCGATTATGTCAAGAACTTTTGGAAATCACTGTACTTGGAAATTAGGCTAAATAAAAGATGGTTGATGGAGACTTTCAAGGCTTCACTGCAGGTTCTCTGTCTTATTTGTTAAGATGGTTATTCTTAAACACCAAAAGGTAAATAGGAAAGACTCAGTTGTGCTGTGGCCCCCCACAATCCTGAACAAGAGTAAGCATAGTATATTCCTTATGGAAATAGGTTTATGTAGCTAACTCTTCCATGAATGCCATTGTTCTGTGATATAAGAAGGATGGGTCTAAGCCTGTCTTTGTATGGTAATGTGCTTTCACAGCCAAAGTATGAGAATTGACACAGACTGAAGTATACTCGAAGAAAGACATTTATCTTCTTATGCCTTCTGTGATGGATTGTTCAAAGCTAAAGGAACACCAGGACAGAACCAAATCTCCTGATGCCCTATATAGTTATTACAATCTTCTTTTAAATAACACAAAGTCAGGGTAGTCTCACTGCTAAACCAGCAGTTCTTCAGGAATCTTCCCATAATATGACAGGATGGAACCACCTCTCATACAAATCAACACTGTTATTTTCAAAGTAAGCACTCTAAGGGGTTGCTTGAACAAGAAAAGACAAATTTTCGGAGCTGCATGATATCCTGTGAATTGCATTCATGGAATGTCACAGCTTATTCTGATGCATTTTAAGTTGAACTGGGTAAACAGTGTTAGGTGTTTGATTAGTGTTAATATGCAAGATGCCATGATTAAGCATGATTGTTCTTTTGAATTACGAGACTTTTTAAAATATTCTTCCTTTGATCTCTAGCAAATGGTAAGAACAAAATTTGTAATTTAAAACATATTGACTTTGACTCAGAAATTCATTTACACATTGCAAATTTATTGTTACCTAATATATATAGATAGCTGGCGAAACTTTGGTCTGCCGAAAGAAATGATGCTAACTTTTTCTTCCTTCTTTGAATTGTGTCCAGTGATATATTCTCTTCTGAATTCTTGAGTCTATATAAACAGTAGAGGCTCAATGATCAATATTTTATGCAGACTTCTGAAAGAGAGCAATGAACTTGACTTTAGGAGGTAGCTGTCCTTAAAATCATAGCTGAACTCACGTTTGTTTTCCTGTTTGGACATCACCTTTGTTTTGTTTTTTTTTTTTTTTTCTCTAAGCATGGTGATTGGGAAGCACATTTAGTTTGTTTTGCTTGTATTTATTTCAATATGTACAATCATTCTTAGGGAGTTTATGTTCCATTTATATGCTACCAACTTTTTAAAATTTTTTTTTTTTTGCTATTGGATTCTAATTTTGAACATGTTTGTTGATTAATTTTGTAGTCACTTGAAGTGATTGTATTATCAATAAAGGGGAAATTTCACACCTAACCTTCAGTATTTTAAAAATACTTCACTGTGAAATGCTTCTGAAACCATATATTTTGACAAGGCCTGCTTCCATTTCGGTGTGTATAAAGTCAGCAGGCAAGCTCTCAATAATCTAATAATCAGTTATTTCACTTGTCATCTCACATCAAACCATAATTTTCCCATGGTAGTATTTAACTTACCTGACTCTAGCCACTATTAATGTATTTCTATAGCTTATACAACATCTAGTTATCACTCTGTCTATTTCAGCTTGTTCATACTAATGATTTATTCTCATTTTCTCTAGGATATAGACCTGCAGCTAACTGGATTTGATTTATAAGAGGGAAATCTACAGTCAATGGCCACCCTCACCAAGTTGCTACTATGGAAAACAGAATGGTCAATAGGATATGGTCTGATAAATAGAGATGATTGAAGATGCTGCCTCAATACATGTGAAATCAATGGGAGATACTTGCTGCATGAAGAGTGTTCTGAACTTTTCCTGACCAGCTCACTTTTGAGGAATTGGAGGCATATAATACCATTATACAGTCCGTCTCCAGTGGATATAAATACATTTGCCTCACTGTAACCAGACAGCTAGACAACTAATGTGGGATCATGGCACGGCCCAGATGCATGTGGCCAGATTACGTTTGGAGAGCAGTGATGGCATGCTTGGTACACAGGGGATTGGGCGCCTCCTTGACTCTCTGTTTGTTGGGATGTTTAATTCAGGCTGCCCATGTGCTCTCACAAAAATTGGATGATGTGGACCCACTGGTGACAACCAACTTTGGCAAGATAAGAGGGATTAAGAAAGAACTCAATAATGAAATTTTGGGGCCTGTTATTCAGTTTCTTGGAGTTCCGTATGCAGCTCCACCAACAGGAGAACATCGTTTTCAGCCTCCAGAACCACCATCTCCCTGGTCAGATGTCAGGAATGCCACTCAGTTTGCTCCTGTGTGTCCCCAGAATATCATTGATGGCAGGTTGCCAGAAGTCATGCTTCCTGTGTGGTTTACCAATAACTTGGATGTGGTTTCTTCGTATGTACAAGACCAGAGTGAAGACTGCCTTTATTTAAACATATATGTCCCAACTGAGGATGGTGAGTTTTTGCAGGAAAAACAGGGAGATTTATATATGTAGATATATATTTTATTTCTATTCTAACAATATTACTTGATGTGTACTGGTAGTATGCATGGCTTTTCCTGTCGGCATGTAGACATATTTTACATGCTTGCATGCCGCTCTTTCTGTTTATGTGTGTCAGTATATCTGTTATTTTTTTTTCCTGTGCCTACTCATTTTCTTACCTCCACAGCACGTATATTTAGGTAGAAATGGGCTCCTAATTTCCATTTCCTACCAAATGACTTCTGAGAAGATGCATCAACATTTCCTCATTGCATGTGCAGGCTCAACAAATTGGGGATCTTTCGCACTCAGTAAATGCAGGAGCGTATTAAGATAGATAGTGGTGTTGCATGTTCCGGCGGTCTGTGATGGAGCGCCATGTTATTTTCTAGTCTTCTATTCATTTTTCAGTAAAAAGAATATCCAAGGAATGTGCCAGAAAACCCGGCAAGAAAATATGTAGAAAAGGAGGTATGTATAAAAGTGAAAATTAAAAAATGGGTAAAAAGCTTACCAAAGAAGAACGAGACACTCTCTTCTGTAAGGATGATCTGCTGATGCTGGGAAGTGAATGATTAGGTGATATTTGGAATTTGATGAAGTTCGGCAGGGAATAGGAAGATGGTTGAGGAGAGCTCCAGCTGAGTAAATAACATTGGCATAGCTCATTGATGATGCCTTATGTTGTAGTGCTGGTAGCATCGGCAAGAATTCAATCTCTGCTTTGAGTTTGCTTATGGGGAAGGAGATACTCAGGGTATTGTGTTGCCTGCAAGGAACACACCCAGTGCTCCCCACTACCTGATCAGTTTTGACTTCTGAATTCTTTCTAAAGAGATTCAGATCTGTGTTCCTCCTCAAATGCATCAGTTCAGTACAGAGTTTTATTTATGTATTTGTTTATTCTTAGCTCCTTTCTAACATCCTATGAACTTTCTCCTCATCAGGGTAAATTGACCATAATTGTGGGCAATTGGCATTATTAAGTAATATTTTTTCCAAGAGCCTTTTCATTTGCAGTTAAAATTCCAAAAGGGAACGGGATTTTTATATTTAATATTGACTGTCTTCAAATTACTTTAACATTTTTATATTTATGTTAAACAATTTAAAACATAGAGAAGAACATGATTCAGAAGCTACAATCAAATCAACCTTCAAATCATCCTCTAGCCAGATTGAGCAAATGTAGACTCTGACAGCTGCAAGCTTGCATCTGAATGTAGCTGGTCCACACTCTGTTTTTATATAACATTCCGTAAATCACTCATAGGAGAGGAAGATTTTCTATGACAGTAAATCACCTAAGTGTTATTTTGACCTTATTCATAACTTTGTAGAATTTCCAATCTTCATACAGAAGTCATATTAATATTCTAGTGCTGCATATTCTCTCTCTCCCTCTATGCACTTCTAAACTCCGGGCTGGACCAAGTCAGATTTCATTACTGTATCCTTGTGGGGCAGGGAGGGTCTAAACTGTTCTGTTTTACTGGGATTGCATTATGTGAAAGACACTTCAAATGACAAAATTCTCAACTGGGATCAGAAGTATTTGCCTTAAATCGACATTTGTTTTGTTCTTGCTCTTGTTTCTTTGGTACTACTGGTAGAATGGAATTTAACTTCCATTTTTTAAACATGATGCTATAATTTGGGTTAAAAGCACAGTACACTTATGAAGGTGGAAATGAAGGCAACAGGGGTGTTTTAAACAACTAAAAACAAGTCTTTTGTTTTTCCCCCAATGAAAATAACTGCAGTAATTTACATGCCTCCGATTAATGTACAATACTGCAGTAGTTATTATTATGCAGCTTATCAGGCATGTGTAATTAGCTAAGTGACTTTCACCTCCTATCACAAAGATGTTGATTCACAAAGTCATAAATAAAGATGCAATTGAAGAATGCATAAATAGAGCATAATACATAAAAATATGTATGATCAAGAAAAAGATAATGGCATCAAAAGTTAAGCTAGTAAGTTAGAAAGTGACCTTTCCTCTCATACAACTTCAGAGAGAAAAGGATTTCTTAAAACTTCATTTTTCACTGTTCTTTGGATTTTTGGTTCCATCTGCTTTATAAGACAGTTGGCAAAGAGGTGTGTAGGCTATATTACTTATCTTGGCAGACTTTGAACCAATTTATAATTGGACTGGGGACAATATCTATAGATGCCTGCTTGACTCTTTATGGTTTACAGTCCAAAACTATTGTGTTTTTATATATTATTACTTGAACATTTTTTTTTAATTATTTTGCTTAGAATTTAATATATCCTTTTACTTTAAATAGGTTCTGGTCACTTATTTGCTCTTTGTATATTATCCAAATATGAAAAGCAAAGAATTTAAATATGTTTTTTCCATACAAATAGCATTTTTAAAATACATAATAACCAACTTCAGAGTTGGCTTTAGAGTAGCAGAAAGTTTTTCTGCCCAAATCTTTATTCTTTCTTCTCTACTATAGAGTGTCTATTTTGGTCACTTCCAGAAATCATTATTTTCCTGTTTCAAGAAATTATTAGTCATTTCATATCCATTTATGCATATGCTAATAAATACCATATATGGATTATTAGTTCCTCAGCAGAATTCCAGAAGTTTATAAATGGTGGTTCAGGAACTGTGAGAGTAGTTGTGTTGTCCTTTTTCTTGAGGCCAGTAATTCTGGCTTGTTATTATTTACCTTTCTTTTTGTAAAGTATGTACAGTCATTTGCAAGAGGCAGATGGACCCCTATTCCTGTGCCAAGTACACTATAGTGTGTGCATCTGAATTCATTCAGAACTACTTCCTAATTGCCAATTATAACCCTTGTAGTATTCAGGAGAGTCAGCAATGAATGAGACAAACAAAAAGAATCCTCTTTCCATGGAACTTACATTCAAGTAATTTTTCAAAGAGCCATGCATTTTCTGCACTCTGATTTATACAAAAGGAAGAAAATATTCTCCTTCATTCAAGATACCATATTATAATTTTTAAATAGAGTTTTTATAATATTTTCCTGTGCATTTGAAGAAAAGAAACAGTTTTATCCATAGATTGCTTCTCATTCTAAAACAGGTCCCAGTTGCACATTTTAATCTATCTTTTTATATTTCCCATGATAGTTTTAGCCATATGTTAATTACCCTCTCGATATTTCTTCAGGGTTTTATCCTTGCAAAATTGAAAAGTAGAATGAATTTTTAGAATAAGATGACTATCAACACTTGCACAAACAGGCGGATAGTATTATAGAAACTCAAATTTGGAAGGGGAAGATATTTGCCTTTATATTCTAGGTGTTTTGCATAATTTGTCCATTTAAGCATTACAACAACTTCGTGAGAAAAGTATATTAGTATGCATTTTACCAATAAGTAAATAGGTTCTGAGAAGCAGTTATTTCCACCCAGTTTCTACTGCTATTAAAGGTAGAGGTATATTCTTCTAATTCTTGCCCATGTTAGAAAAGGTTCCATTATGTTAAATTTACTCCTGTAGATAATCCTGTTGCAGAAGCATGGATCTCTTCACTCTTCTTTCTTCCTTTGCACATTCAAACACATCAAGAGTTCTTTTTATTCTGTCAGTTGACAGTATTTTAAACAGACAATTCACCTTAATTGAATTGGGCCAAGCCACGCTGAGTAACTGATTTCCAAAAGCATGAATGGTACCCATTTTAGTGAATGCTTTTAATGTACATATATTTTTATTACTCTCTGGACTAAAATCCCCAAATAGTCCTTTTGGGCTGCTACCAAGGAGTAGCTTTAGCTGTCTAAGTTTCCCTTTGTTTCTCCAGGTTACTTGTGAGAGTCTTGTGAGAGTTGCTGACAAACAGCAAGGTGGTCAAATACTTGGCAGTAAACATTAGAAAGAGGAACAGGGGACCCAGAGAATCAAAAACAAATTGATTGGCTCCTGGATACTTCAGAGTTGTGCAGCCTTGTATTCCTGCAGCACTTTGACTATTATTTGCATATATCTTCTGAAATGAATATAGACTTCTCATTTCCATAGTCATGAGACTTTAACCCACTCTTTCATTTACCCCAATTTTTATTATTCAGAAACTTGGAATGTTTATAGATGCTGTGGTGTAATTCAGCACTTCTTAAGCATTTTGTTCTTGATTTTCAGGATTATTTTAACCTCTTAACCATCTTTACTTGAGGTGACACTGAATTTGCTCAGGATATTTCCCACAAATTTAGGAGTTATTTGGTTGTTTGTTTAACACAGGGACTTATTTTTCCCTAATTAATGTGTGTAAAAATGACTAATATCACTGTCAAGGTGTTCAGGCTTTTTAAAGGGGGTTATATTCCAGAATCCTCTTCTTTCTGGCTCATACATTTCTAACTAATTTATTTATTCATTTAACAAATATTTATTGGGTGCTTACTCTGTACTAATTATTACTCTAGGCCTAAGAGATAAATCACTGAACAAAAGAGGAAAAAAAAATCCCTGTCTTCCTGAAGCTTATAGCCTAGTGTGTAAAGACAGATTATAAACAATAAACACAATAAACAACTAAATTGAAAAGGTGCAATAAGGGTAAGAATAACAGAGTATGGAGGAAAGAGAATGCCTATGTGGAGGGTGAATGTAATTTTAATTAATGTGGTCAGGGTAGTCCTTTTTGGAGGAACGAAATGAAGGAAATGAGGTAGATATCTGGGGACAGAGCAAAACTGAGAACTAGTGGAAGGCTATTAGTGTGTCATTCTGTCTTGCACATTTAAAGAACAATTAGGAGTCTATCATATCTGGAAAAGGGATGGGGAGAGAAAGAGAACAAGATTCAGAATGTTCCGATTTAAAAAGAGACTGGCCAGTGTATTGATAGTAGGTCATGGGAGAACATGGAGAAATGGGGAAAACGGGAGAAGGGGGTTGTATTCCAGCAAGATCTGATCATGGTCCAGGCCCAAACCAGGGTATGATGATGAAAGTCGTAAATTCTCCACATATTTTGAATATCATATTTCTTGATCAACTTGATGCAGGCTCTGAAAGAATTCTAGATTTTTTTTTTTTAATAAGTGGAAGAATACACTTACCATCAATTAGGATGGAAAAGGAATATAAAATGATTTATGAACTAGTTCAGTGGAAAGGTGGTAAGTTTAGTTTTGGACATGTTAAATTTGAGATGATATTCAGATACTCCAGTGAATATATCAAGAAACCAGTGTCCTGAAGCAACTTTGTGCTACCAAGTTCAGGAAAGGTCTAGGCAGAGATATGAATTTGGAAGTAGCTGTGATAGAGAAGATAAAGATTTTTTTTTTTTTTTTTTTTTTTTTTTTTTAGCAGAGAGATGTTTATTACTCCTCCAAATCTTTAGCTGGTTTTATAGGGTTACTAGTTTAGATTTAAAGTTTCTTTGTCTTCAGAGCACCAGACCTCCCATTTGGAGCTGATTGCCATTTTTCAAAGCTTTCTGGTTCACCCAGGGGTTCAT